CGCCCTATCCAAAACCGAAAAGGAGGTTCAGGGATCAGATGCACTTTAACCATTTAACCCTTTAACTGCCACTTATGTACATTGGCGGCAGCAGGGACCTGTTTACATTCTGCAGGCTGTTGGCTTTCTGCTACAAGTGATTTGGGCTGCTGTAAAGACGCTGCGTCCCTTTTTATAGTAGAAGGAAATAAAGGAGCTTTCCATTAGAATGTGTCTACATGAGCAGACGAGAGACTGATGAGCTCATCCCTCTGCTCTCCCTTCCTGTCAGTACAGAGTATTACAAGAGGCTGATACTGAATCAAATTGCGTCCCTTACACAAGATACATTTAAATAACTTTTTTTGTTTTTCATGAATACTGAGTGCAGTCATGGAGTCTTTCATACAAGAACCAAGTCAACTCGAATACAGGTCTATGGAACTCGCAGTACAGGTTTAAGGTTCAGGTCTGATTAGGAGAGGGGAACTTTCTTCTTCAGTTCCCTCCTCTGCTGATTGACAGCAGGCAGTGGGCGGGTGCAATAGTCAGCCTGCTATTGCAATTTGAACTATCCAATAACAGGCTGGCTATTGGTCCCAGCCACTGTATGCTGTGAAAGGTGTCCTCTCCCTAACTAAAGCTATTAAAGTGGAAAGGTGACAAGAGGAGTCTAATTGAACCCCTTATGTCACATTAAAGAGAACCTGTCACCTCCAATGTGCTATCACATAGGGGCTTGTGTGCTCCCCCCATGTGATAGCAATGAAGTTAAGTAAAAAAATAAAGCAGTAAGGGGGTTAATCCTGAATTTGAAACTCATGAATAAGGCAGCAGATTCCTGATGCTGTAGGTGCTTTCTCTGTTTATGGAGGCGTTGGACATTAAAGGGGTTCTAAACCCTCCCGTTTTTTTGCCTATATCTACTGCTATCAAGCAGTAGATATAGGCAAACAGTTTAAGAATAAAAAATAAAAAAAATCCCCGCTTTAACAGCGGTTTAAACTTACTTTGTTTTCGCTGCGCGCTCCTGCCCGAGAAACTGAAACTGTTCGGGCGGCCGCAAAGCATCTTGGGGCGGGCGCATGCGCAGTTCGGATTCTCGGCCGGGAGACGAGCAGAGACGCAAGGTGAGTCTATGGACGCGTGCACCCGCCTGCAGACACCGTGGGATCAGAAATGCCAGCAAGCAGAGAGGAGTGAGCGCTGGATCGGAGAGCCGCCGCACCGCTGGAGGGACAGATGAAAACATGGGGAAAAAAGATGATCTGATTAAGAGACATCATTTAAGGTAAGTGCTGACATTAACACTGGGGGGAGGGGCATTTTTTTATCCTTTAATGTCACTTGAAAGAATATGTAAGCGCAATGTATTAAATGTACTTTGTAAAACACGAAATGTTTGCTGGTTACCATATTTGAATTTATCGTCCCCCCCAAAAAAATTATTTCTACCATTTGTTGTGGTTTTATTTTCCTTTCCGGTGACCATGCAGCCTTTTCTCAGCTCCTGTTCCGTAGAACAGGGAGCGGGTCAGCTTTGGAAGTGGACAGCTAGCTTCTGATGTTGCACACAGAATACTCTTAAATAAATGCCCAACATTATGAAAAAGATATCATTATATTCAGTGGGAACCCACTACAATGCCACCATGCTTGTATACTGAAAATCCTACCAGCTCTTGGCTGCTTTATTAGCTACAAGCAGCTGCAATTTGACATTGGCATACACTTGAAGGCGGCTTACTTGCTTCTAGCCATAAACCTGATGTATCAGCAATTCCTCAGATTTGCCATCCCCGTTTTGAGAGGGGTTAATTTCCTGCCTTATAGACTCAACCGGAAGTGAGAGCATATCTTTCCAATGTGAGGGAAATCCCCTCTTCGTTATCAGGGGAACAAGATTGCAGCAACATTAGAAGATTTCCCCTGTTGTCCCGTGCTGGTGGCAACCTAACATTTTGGATTTACCATTGCTGTCATTCCCTGTAACATTGGTGATCAGGACAATTGGAGTGAGTGCATCTCCCTAACAGGGACACAGACAGCAATAAAAACTGGACAGAGGTTCTAACTCCTTGCCACTCTATTTAAGAGAAGTTTTGCCTTTACCTATACTTTAAATTGTCTAGTGCTTCTGTTCATTGTAGTTGGCCAAAGCCTTTCTCTCATGTGTACTAGGTGTTTCTTCTATAAGGAGTTGTCAGGTACTAACTCACTTTTGGTTTCTTTCCCTTTCAAATAGTTTTATTCATAGTACTATATAGTTTGTATCTAACGTTTTTCTTCTGTTTATTTTTAGTCTATTATGAACTATAATGGAGGGGCCGTCATGGCCATGAGAGGAAAAAACTGTGTGGCTATAGCTGCTGATAAACGCTTTGGAGTCCAAGCTCAGATGGTGACAACAGACTTCCAGAAGATCTTTCCCATGGGGGAACGCTTGTATATTGGACTGGCTGGCTTGGCAACTGATGTGCAGACAGTGTAAGAGTTTTGTTGGTGACTCAAAATAAATATTTGGGATATCTATAGAGCATACCAGAATGCCAAATTAAGGAATATGTGACAATGTCATACATTGCATGAATCCCATTAAATTGCCCAGTATCACTTTAGATAAGGGGATTTCCAAGAGCCAAGTCACTAAACAATTATGTGTGTGGTGCTTGAAGAATGATTGAATAATTTGTTAATGTATCTTTTATTTGGTCAGTATCACGGCCTACTTAACCCATTCCTTTTATATCCTGCCAGGTAGGCCTTTTCACTACAATTGTTGGTAAATCTAAATGTGCTAAAACAGTCCAATTTTAAGGTGTGTGGCTACCTTTTAGAATTAAACTATCTGAACCCAGCATCCGATGCGATTTTTACATTAAAATAGAGGTAAATTCATAGTGCAGTGGTCCCCAGCCTGTAGCCAACTGACTTGCTTCCTCTCACATTAATTATGTGGCACTTTCCCTTCCATACCATTGATGGAGCACTATTTCTTCTACTGATTTAATGATGGTGCACTACTTCCACTGGCACCAACGATAAGGCACTATTCCTCCCACTGACACCAACGATAAGGCACTATTCCTCCCACTGACACCAACGATAAGGCAGTATTCCTCCCACTGACCCCAACGATAAGGCACTATTCCTCCCACTGACACCAACGATAAGGCAGTATTCCTCCCACTGACCCCAACGATAAGGCACTTTTCCTCCCACTGGCACCAACGATAAGGCACTATTCCTCCCACTGACACCAACGATAAGGCAGTATTCCTCCCACTGACACCAACGATAAGGCACTATTCCTCCCACTGGCACCAACGATAAGGCACTATTCCTCCCACTGACACCAACGATAAGGCAGTATTCCTCCCACTGACACCAACGATAAGGCACTATTCCTCCCACTGGCACCAACGATAAGGCACTATTCCTCCCACTGACACCAACGATAAGGCAGTATTCCTCCCACTGACACCAACGATAAGGCACTATTCCTCCCACTGGCACCAACGATAAGGCACTATTCCTCCCACTGACACCAACGATAAGGCAGTATTCCTCCCACTGACACCAACGATAAGGCACTATTCCTCCCACTGGCACCAACGATAAGGCACTATTCCTCCCACTGACACCAACGATAAGGCAGTATTCCTCCCACTGACACCAACGATAAGGCACTATTCCTCCCACTGGCACCAACGATAAGGCACTATTCCTCCCACTGACACCAACGATAAGGCAGTATTCCTCCCACTGACACCAACTGTGATGATAATGATAGTTGGTGTTTTAGAAAAATTGTCATTAAAGGAGAACTATGAGCCTAGTGCTTTTCACTCACCTCATAGTTCTAGCCGACCTGTGACAATGAGACTGTCACAGGTCGGCTCAGTAGATCGGGAGGTGAGCGAACACATACCGGCGTTTGCTCACCTCTCGATCCTGTCACGGCTCTCTGCCGTGACAGGGGAGGGGCTGGATTCCCCCCTCCCCGATCCACCAGCGCTGACTGGCGGAACGGACGGGGGAGGGGGCAGGTACAGCTGGCTCTGCCTTTAGATCCAGCTGTCCAGCAGAGCCAGCTGTCAGTCACGCTCCAGCTGCGGCGTCTCAGGGGCAGGTACAGCTGGCTCTGCCTTTAGATAGGCAGAGCCAGCTGTCAGTCATCCGCTTCAGCTGCGGCGTCTCAGTATACCGCGAGCAACAGTTCGCGGTATACTGAGCCTAGGGTGACGGGAGGGCGCTAGTTTGTGTCCTCCCATTACCCTAAGGAGAACTATGGGGAAAAGACTTAACCCCATAGTTCTCCTTTAAGGGTTAGTCTGCTGAGCATCATAAACACTTAAACACCCCTTCAGCACGCTTCAGAGCTCTCATTTCCATTGATGCTAAGAGTAGTTAATGAGAGTCAGTAACTCTTGTCAAGCTGAATTTCTAAATGCTCTAACCTGAAATTAAATAACTTATTGCCTTTTTGAAGAAAGCTATCCTATTTTAAACTTACATTCCTGTCTGGGTGTGACAATGAGTGTCACAGACAGGTCAGAATTGCTATAGCAGATGCTGTAAACGATGTGCGTTTCAGCTAAAATCTGTGGTGGCAGCGACCATTTGTGTATGTAAAGGGTTAATTGTGAATTTAATCTGATCCAATGACAGTCCTCTTTAGGACATTTAGATAGATTTTCCAACTTGGGAGAAACCAATGTGTAGGGTGAGGCCGAGAGTGTAATATGTCAGACCAACAGTAGGGCGCTATAATTGACATGTTCCTTTTTGCTATAAGCTACATTACTGTTTGAGCAGGCTAGAGCAATGGTCCTTGGAATCAGTGAATCCACATTACCCTTCAGTGTAATAGAGAGACTTCATTACTGAACGCCAAATAGTCTTTCTTTCTTAAAAATGCATGCGTTTATTTTTGCAGGTCCCAGCGCCTGAAGTTCAGATTGAACCTTTACGAGTTGAAAGAAGGGCGTCAGATCAAACCTAAAACTTTTAAAAGCATGGTGGCTAACTTGCTGTATGAGAGAAGGTATGAGATGCATCAATATTTATTTTATCCTAAAATATGTCAAGATGGCAGTGCCTGTTATGATTCGGCTCACATAAACGCAGTCATTGCTCGATTGTGCAGCACTTCTGGTTCCTAGGCAGTGATGTAGAAATTAGTGTTTGCTTCACTGCTTCGTACTAGCATTGAGCACATGAAAATGGGGAATGCCTGCTTCTAAATGCCTAATTGTTCAAAGAGTTCTACTTAAAGTAAGTCTAAACCCAAGATCAAAAAATTAGTTTTCTTTTTTCCAGTCGTTCTCCAAGATTAGAGTTACAGTGAATCTTAAGGCAAAATGCAAGAAAACGGTTAAATTCACTGCCTGGCCAAAAAAAGTCACCATCTGGACTTAGGACAGTGGTATGATCTGTGGTTGCTTCAGCTGGTCAGGTCTAGGTTCAGCAACATTATGTCCCCCAAAAATAAGGTCAGCTGCCTATCTGAATATACTGAGAGAGGGTTTTTGTTTTGTTTTTCCTCCTGATGGCACGGACATATTCCAAGATGACAATACCAGGATTCATTGGGCTCAGGTTGTGAAAGAGTGATTCAGGGAGCATGAGACATCATTATCACACATGGATTGGCCACCACAGAGTCCAGACCTTGACCCCATTGAGAATCTTTTGGATGTGCCAGGGGAGACTATAAGCAGTGGTCCAACTCTCTCATCATCACTATAAGATCTTGGTGAAAAATGAATAAAACTCTGGACAGAAAGAAAATGTTGTGACATAAGCTTTTCAAAAACAATGCCACAGCGAATGCGCGCCATAATCAAAGCTAAAAGGTGTCCAATAAAACATTACAGTGTGTGACTTTACACAGTGGTCCGACTCTCCCATTATCACTACAAGACCTTGGTAAAAAAAATGAATGCAACTCTAGACGGGAATACATTTTGTGTATTGCTCAGGCTTGTGGAAGGCGGTCCAATGAAATATTGGAGTGTGTGACTTTTTTTTTTGGTTTGGTCAGGCAGTGTGTGTTTACTGTTTTACATGCCTCTAGGTAAGGTTTATATCCCCATGATGGTGTGTATCTCTGTTTGTTTATAGACTAATCCTATGATTTTAATACACGGTTAGTAGAAATGGAGCCATTCTTTTATCGCTTTAGACAGATTAGAGCAGAGCCAAAATCTCAGTTGGGTTTTGCCTGTATATTTCTTATGGTGATTTTCCCTTTTTTGTTTTTTTTTCTGGTGACATAAAAGGAAATCAAGTAATCTTGCCAACAGAAACCTTAAGAGCAGCATAAATCAGAAAATGTTCATATGCTGTCTGTATCTTCTTTGGAGAGGTTCTTCTTACTGGGATCAAACAGGAAGTGAGAGGAAATTCCCCATTCGGGATACAGACAGCATAAAAAGGCTGAAAGGTTCTATCCCTTTCTTATACTATTCCAACTAATATGCTTGGGCCAGAATTCTACTTTGTGAATACCTATTTATGTATTGTTATTCTGATACATAGCTCACGCAGTGGCTGAATTTGTGTCTCAGAATATATTTTCTTGGTTCTTGCCAGGTTTGGTCCTTACTATATTGAACCAGTTATTGCGGGTTTGGACCCCAAGACCTTTGAGCCATTCATTTGCTCTCTGGATCTTATTGGATGTCCAATGGAGACTGAAGACTTTGTAGTTAGTGGGACGTGTTCAGAACAGATGTACGGCATGTGCGAGTCCCTCTGGGAGCCAGACTTGGTGAGTACGGAAGGTTTTACATGGAGCAGCGTGAATTTATTAGAATATTAAAGTGGTTATAATTCTAAAAAATTGGGGCCACAAGTTACTGCATTAGTCAGAATGTGGGCATAGGTCTACTCCCCTTAGTCACTAGGAGTCCATTAATGTGTTTTTTTTTTTAATTTCATGGCAGTTTAGCATACCTCCATTGTAGCACACGGTGCACTGCTGTGTGTTGTGGTGAGCTGTTTTAAAAAAGAATAGTGCAGGTCTGATTTCTGCTGTGTGGCGTTGGCAGCCTATCTAAAAGAACGGGCTGGTTTAACACTATGCACATTAATGTTTTCAACACACTACATATATCTGAATGGGCCATAAGTGTTTATTAGTTAAACAGCAATATAATCTCGGTAGCCACTGTGATTTCTGGAGTAGAACTTAATACATTTAAGAAACTTCTTGATGAGTTCACTTAATTTACAGGGATATGGGAAGTGTTAGAGCAAGTAAAATACAGACACACAATCACATACACCTATATACACACAGGTTCAACTGGATGGACCCTTGGCTTTATTTCACCTCACCTACTATGTTACTACGTAACTGCACATTTAATCTGCTAATATACAGGTAATCATTAGAGGTAGACTCTCTAACGCTGCATATAAATACAATAGCGGACAGCAAGCTTGTAAAAACATGAGTCAGATCAAAAATGACTGCCATGTACATGTTAAAATATTAACACCAAATAGATTACTTGATAACAATATACTGTCATTTCCCTTTATTTTTGCTTCAACAATGTTCTCTTCATACCCTCTCTAGGAGCCAGAGGACCTTTTCGAAACCATCTCACAGGCCATGCTGAATGCTATGGACAGAGATGCTGTCTCTGGAATGGGGGTGGATGTACACATAATGTAAGTACTAGTAATCCATCAATAGTCCTACTGCCTGCTTAGCAGAAACATTATAGTTTCACTAGATACTACTGAGTCACTGCCCTAAAAAGGGGCTGTAGACAGTTAGAAGTCCAAATCTGCATACTTTTTTTTTCGTCGCTGGGTGTGACCATTGCAAGCACCACTGTTAGTGTTAAATGATTCAACCTAGCCCTTGTAACTGACACTTTTGTGGGAGAGCTTGGCCTTTCATTGGAGGTGGAAAAATGATGGATCTAGTGGCAGGATCAACAGGTAATAAAATGATGATGTAGCAGGGACTAAGAAAAACAAGAACTGCTGTGTTAGTGACAGACTGCATTGTATATGTATTTATTTTTATTGCCCATAGTTCCACTTCACTTTAGGTTAATTGTGTTAATGGATGTTTTATTGATCTCAATATAAATACATTTCATAGTGGCTGGAATCACATTTTTCTGCTGTTTAGCCACCCAATAGCAATGGTGAACTCCATGCAAGCAGCACTGTTCCTGTCAACCGTGATTGGTGGCCCTAGAATTATTACTCGCACTCCGACGTTCCCGTAGATATGTAATATGTGGTGCAATATACAGCAGCTGGAGAAATGATAGGCTGAAACTGGAAGTGATGTGATTCACATCACTTCCGCATTCAGTGATCGGAGGGGAGATCAGCTTATGGAATGTGCTGATCTCCCCTCCTGATCCAGCCACGGAGACCCGCCATGCCCAAGATAGCTGGCGGCAGAGGGAGGCGGTGAACACTTTCTGTACCCTTCCCGCACCATACAAGCGATGTATGTATCCAAGGCTTTTATGTGTCAAACTTTTTCCTGATCACATGCGGGAAAGGAAGTTTATAAATACCCACCCAGCCTCATGCGGCAGCTGTCCGACTCTTTATTTACAATCGGCCGTACGGCAAGTGGTTCTCACTGTATGTTAACAATTTTGTCCGATGTTCATTTTAAATCTGTCCACTGTTAAGGCCAATTAGATGCAGTGCATTCTGGGCCGATTCTAGCTGAATGCACTGCCTCGCATTGCGGCCAGCTCACTTTTTTGTGGGGCAGGAGGGGGAGTGGTGGGCCATTGAATTGAATGGCACCGTAGCCACGCCCTCCGGCCGCAATCCGATTGGCCGCACGGGATCGCAAGGCACATTATGCCTGCGGTCCGATCAAAATTCTGCAAGCACTATTTTGACCGCAATGGACCGCAGGCATAATGTGCCGGAGGGCGTGGCTACGGTGCCATTCACTTAAGTGGTCTGCCCCACAAAAAAGTGAGCCGGCCGCAATGCGAGGAAGTGCGTTCTTGGCCAGAATCGGGCCGGAAAGCACTGCATCTGGTGTGAACGAGGCCTAAAAAGAACAATACTGAGGAGTAACTGTAGTAGCAGATTTCTCTCCTAGGTGGCACAGCAGGCAAATATTTACAGCCATAAATTCTAGTGCCACGGGGCGGGCAGAACAGAATATCAAATCTATGAAATGTTGAAATGACATTTTCTGAAAAACCTCTTTAAATCAGAAATGAAAGATGATAGATTGTATGCAATGATTGTCCCAGACTCTGCTGTAAACCTAGCCTGAAATGTGTACTTCTATCTTTACAGAGAAAAAGATAAAGTTACCACGCGGACACTGAAGGCACGCATGGATTAACCTTTCCCGAAACTGAACCTGGGGCTCAGCACTGTAACCTTTTTTTTTAATTAAAGCAAATCATTTTTTGGTGGATCTCAGATTTTTTTTTTTATTGTAATTTTGTTGCTAAAACTATATTGATTGAAGTGACTGGCTGGAGCCATAGAGATTAAAGATGCTGCATCCATAGGCCTAGATACTCATGATACCTCACTTTTAGGCACACAGGTGCATGAGGCTAGCGTGTAAATTGTAGCCATATTTCTGCAGCTGCCCATAGTAGTGAATGGGTGTAAGCAGTTTAAGCCCCTACTTGCATGAACTTAGTGTGCATTCAGGAGTGTACGTCTTTATGCATGCGTGGGTTTACACTAGTAATGTAAATCCACAAACCGCCGTCTACACTCATTCACTTCTATGGGCAGCTGTAGCTGGTTATCCCAGGCATGGGCACACACCCTTTTTTTTAAATATAAATTGCATTTTCCTGCAACAGGAATCCCTAATTTGCCCTTTGCAAGCAACAACTGTCACCCAATCAAGTTATTAATCAGGTGACAGCTGCTGCATATAAACGCCTGCACACCACATGTAATGGTTTGTGATATGATTACATGAGGTTAGGAATGAATCACTATCTCTGATCATTAACTTGAACAGGTGACAGTTGCAGCTTGTAAACGCTACATTCGGGATTCCTGCTTCAGGAAAATGCAAGCTCCTGACGCAGGAATCCCTAATTGCACCTAACCTTACAGATATGAAAGGCCGCCCACACACACAAAATAATACGCTTCCCCCGTTCCTTGCCCCCTTCACACATAAAATAATAGGTTCCCTGCCCCACCTACACATATAATATAACAAATAATATGTGTAGGTGGCTCCGGCCGAAAGGAACTGAGTGCAGTCTGCATCTGACAGTTGCAGACCTTGTAGCTGCTCCCACAAGTCATGTACACGATCCATGACCGCCTGCCTGACTTGTCAGCTGGCTGCAGGCCCCTGCCTTTATACAGTATGGGCAAAATAAAGAAAAAGGTACTTGTACTTCTGCAATATGTGCACATTTCCCCATGCTTTATGCTGCAAATTGATCTGTCAGAAATCCACTGAGCTCCTAACTTCCAGTTTCAGCTGCCAACACTGGATTACAGAACTCTCCCCCCTCTAACATGAGACGTCCAGAGAGAAGAACTCAAACATGACTAATAATGCTGCGTGGGATTCGGTGCAGCTTAGGTACAGTTGTCACCTCAAACAGGAAGTGAGGAGCTGCCTGGGTTTCTGGCAGCACAATTAGGTATTTTTCTGAAGCTGCAACATTTTAAAGAGACAAAACATGAGGAATGTGCATGTGTTGAATGTTTTTTTTTTTTTGCCCAGACACTTTAAACGTGCGTGAATTTGTTGTCTTTCTTTCATTTAGCATCTAGATCTCAGTGTCTCCTTCTGATTCCTGAACCGAACCACAAGCAATAACCTGTCTGCACCTACTATGTGGTTATCCGGACCCACTGCTTTGTTTGCATTGAGCATTTTAAGTCTTTGAATTAGCTTTACATTTTTAAGAATAACTATTTACAGGAGAAGAAGCTTGTGTTCTAAAACATTTTCACATACACATCTACTTCTAGCAACTTCTTTGCCTATGTTTTGATATGCTCCTTTACAAATAAGCCAAAGAACAAAAATGTAATATGTTTTAGTGTTTGGTGTGATGTCTCACTGTATAAAGTTTTCTTAAGAAAATTATTTTTTTTAGAAACTTATTGCAAAGTTACTTACCTGGAGACATTGCCAGTAACATCACTTCCTGCCAGTGCTAAGCTACTGCCTCACAACTGGCAGCAGCGTTGTCTAGGTCTATCGGACAGACAGCCCAACGGCAAACGGAAGGAGTACACAAAGCGGACTTATGCTGCTAATTGCAAGTGAAAGCCTTAGAGATAATAGCATGCAATAGAAGTTGCTATTACTAGCAGATTGCCATGTGGGAAACTTAACAGAAGGTTCACAGAAAGAAAAGAGTATACTAAGAAATCTGTGTACAGTAAGGCATGATGCAAACATAGAAAAGTAGATTTAGGCCCCATTCACACCAAATCCATTGCGATGCGATACATTTTTGAACAGATGTAAATGGGGCTTGTCCATACCGCTCAGTTGCACTGGAAAAAAAAAAAACATGCACCAATTTTTTTTAGTGCAACATACCGCAACGGATCTGGTGTGAGGGCTAGTGCCCTATTCACACCCATTTATTTTTCGGTGCCCTTCCGTTAGCATCCACTGAAGAATGGATCGAAAGGTACAATTGCAAGTCAATGGACCCTCCATTGACTTGCAATGTGCTTTCCGATTTTGGTTTAAATGCACCTTTAGAGATTTACATACACTTTTTAAAGTGCAAGAACCCGAACGATGAATGTGCTCCCTTTTAGTCTAGAAAACATACCATTGAATGTGTTTTCTTATACATCTGTCCGATAAGTGAAACACCACCTGTTCTTATCAGCTCCTCAAAGCTCACCAATGGACTACAGAAAATCTCCCTCCATTTTATGGAAAGTCCTAACTTTATACTGTAGAGTGACAGTTCCATGAGTGAGTGTTGTGCCCCTTGGACAAGAAGTGGCATGAATGCCAGGTGAAAATTAAGGTAGAAAAGACTAAACAGAAAATAAATGCAGCCAACACTTGGCTTGTAAACTGCAATATAAATGATGGGTTTACATACACTTTAACAGTCACCTTTTATGAGAGCCACATGGAGGTTCCTATCATTGCCCTCTGAAAATGCAAGTGAAACTTTTATTGGGAAATTAACTTGTGCTGGGGGAAAAAAAAACCTCTAGGGGGATTCTGGAATCATTGCAACATCCTAAAGATGGTCGGAGCATTTCCAATCCCCAGCTCTTGGATTTATTTTCTAGAGGTCCAAGTCCAACACCTAGTGAGATGGAATGTAGGATCTCTCTGTACTTTGAGGGTGGGGTTTTCCACAGCATACATCTTTCTCATTATACACAACTGAGGGGGTGTGGCCAGGCTCATTATACACAGCTGATGAAGTAGTTGGGAAAGGTGCTGAGGGTGTGGGGCCAGGCTCATTATACTCAGCTGAAGTAGTCAGGGAAAGGTGCTGAGGGGACGTCACCAGGCTCATACTCAGCCGAAGTATTCAGGGAAAGGTACTGAGGGGGTGTGACCAGGCTCATTACACACAGCTGGTGAAGTAGTCAGGGGAAGGTGCTGAAGGGGTGTGCCCAGGCTTATGCACATTTGATGAAGTAGTCAGGGGAAGGTGCTGAGGGGGTGTGACTAGGCTCATTATACACAGCTGATGAAATAGGTAAAGGTGCTGAGGGGGTGTTGCCAGGTGTGACATACTCACTTGATCTCCGGTCCGTGGTCGGCGCAGGGAGTGACTCATTCCCACGCCGTCAGCTGGCTCTGCCCCCCTCAGCGGCTTAACCCGCGAAAGCGGGTCGGTCAGCATTCGTGCAATGAGGAAGATGCCGGCCAGCCTCACCTCAGCTTTGGACCCTCTGCAGCCTGTACCGCTACTGACAGGCAGTGCTCACCCTCTGGCTTCAGTGACACTCGCTTCTTGGGACAACAACAAACTGTCTACCACAGTAGATCATCCTAAGGCTGGGCACACACCTTACAACCATCGCAAGACTTTTGTCTTGCGATGGTTGTAAGGTACTTAAAAAAACGTATGATCTGCCTATGTTGCATAGGCAGATCGTACTTGCAATGATCGTAAGCCACGCCCCCTGAGGGGCGGGCTTCCGATGACCGCAATGCCGAACGGGCAGTGTGCGCTTGCGCACACCGGCCCGTGCGGCTGTTATCGTACGGACATGCCACAAACCCGCCGAACATCGTACGATGCTCGGCGGGTTTTCAAACATGTCCGTAAGTTTAAAGTCGTGCGACCTTACAGTAGTAGAGATCGCACGGCTTCCACACACCTTACGAACATCGTACGATCGCGGGATTTCCCGCGATTATCGTCCGATAATCGTAAGGTGTGTGGGCACCATAAGAAGCTACAAAACCACAAGTATAGACTCCACACAATTGCATCAGTTTAGATGCCAAGCTATTTCTACTAGCAATGTAGAATGAATGTCCTAATCTTTTTAAACCTTTATTAGAGACTTCTGTTTTTGTTCCTGGTGGAAATGAGGTAACTTCTACATCTTACATATGTATCCTTTTTGCTGTTGTCCCTGAAGTGTCTTTAACTTATAGCTGGACAGATTGCACGAACCTCCCGCCATAGATGGAAATGGATCCAACAGACATCGTGATGCATATGGCAGCCTTTAATCAGAGGTTAGATGCCCTATCCCAAATGGTGACTGATTTACGATCTGAGAACCAAAATCTCAGACCACACATCTCACTGGTCACCAGAACTCCCCAGCCCGAGGCTCCTGAGCCCAAAATCAGTCCCCCAGACACCTTCTCTGGAGATAGAAAACGCTACAGATAGTTTATAACTTCATGCAAATTGATGTTTGACATGAAACCCAGGATTATTCCACTGATAAAATTAAAGTATGCACCACCATCTCCTACTTAAGAGAGGAGCCCAGGGCGTGGGCAAACACTTTCCTGGAAAGGGAGGACCTTGTGCTGAATTCCTTTGCGGACTTTTTTGCATCAATGGCTCTATTATATGATGACTCTAGAAAGCAGATATCAGCTGAATCTTTACTACGTTCACTTAAACAAAACAAACGGCCTGTGGAAGATTACATAACCGAATTTAAACATTGGTCCACTGAGTCCGAATGGAATTACGTCAGCTTAAAAAAACAATTCAGATTGGGCTTGCCAGAATCTCGAAAGGACGAACTAACCCGCACAGAGATGCCTACCACCCTGGACTCTCTGATTCAGTTAAGTATCTATCGATAGGTGGCTTAGAGAGAGAAAGGCTGAACGATCTTCCGGCTCTATTCACCCCCCTATCAGATACGTGCATAATGACCCCGTAGTCCCTATGGAGATCGGTTCTATTCGAGGTCCGCTATCTCAACAAGAGCGATTAAGGAGGAAGAACCTACAATTAT